GGCCAGGAGCCTAGTAGCGTCCTTGCTCCTAGTAGTAAGGCCAGGAGCCCCTAGTAGCGTCCTTGCTCCTAGTAGTAAGGCCAGGCGCCCCTAGTAATGTCCTTGCTCTCAGTAGTAAGGCCAGGAGCCCCTAGTAGTTTCTTGCTCCTAGTAGTAAGGCCAGGAGCCCCTTGTAGCTTCTTGCTCCTAGTAGCTTCTTGCTCCTAGTAGTAAGGCCAGGAGCCCCTAGTAGCTTTTTGCTCCTAGTAGTATGGCCAGGAGCCCCTAGTAGCGTCCTTGCTCCTAGTAGTAAGGCCAGGAGCCCCTGGTAGCGTCCTTGCTCCTAATAGCAATGGCCTCCAACCTAATTGATGACAGAAGCCAAGGCCGTTTGAACATCGGGTGGTGCGACAGGCGGATCACGAAAACACAGAGCGACCGGTTTTTGTGCTCATCCAAGGTTTTTCTTCTCTCGTTTTTTTTTTGTGTGATTGAGATGTGGCTCAAAAGTAGACCCGGGGGGACGGACCCACAGGTTTTAGTGATTTTTTACAATTAGCAAGTGGCTTTAGGGGCATCTGATTGGACCTAGCCATAGCCATGTAGCTTGGGCATCTTCGACTTCAAGCATCCTGCTGTTTTGACCGCGCGGACTGGCAGGTGTCCAACGAGCCTTGGCAGGAGCCGAATGCGCCGCATGCGCTTGACTTTTTGGGACTGACCGAGCCCATTGACACCCTCTGCGGCACAGAGTGGTATTTCCCTTCCCACTTTGAGCTAGTCACTCCTTCCCCTAGGATTTGTAGGCTTGGCTACCTCTACTTCTGCGACCTAACCCTGGGGCCGTGGCAAATTCGTGCCAGGGCGCAGGCGGTGCAGGTGTGGCCGTGAGGGCAGGTCTTTCTTTCCATGTCACCGCATCTTCACTATCTTTCGTTCCTGTGAAAGTCAAAGCCTTCTTGACCTTCGGGACCTTTGGTATGAGAGAAAGAACACCATTTCCTTAGACTGCGTTCCTGTTGAACATGTAAATCCTACTCTGATCAATGTGATGCTGTTGCGTGATCTCACCAATTTTGACAGCGTGTATTGGGGTCTTCAGACGGCGCGGCCGCGCTGCATGACCTCCTTCGGCCTTCTTCGCCTTCAGGCATTCGCTCAATGTCTCCAGCAGTGGTCCGGGGTATGACTCCGGTGATGTCGGTCCCAGCATTGAGGCTTCACACCTTTCTTGTTGTTGCACCTTTCTGAACTGGTTGTTTTCTCTTTTTTGCGCAGCTCCTGCGCGAATCGGTGCGCAAGTTCCATCGGTTTTGCCATCTTCAGTTTCTTTTTTGAACTTGTGTTCAAAAGCTTGCTGAATATTGAGTTTGTGGACATAGACCCTGACCCGGGGCGCTTTAGCATGTTCGAAAAAAATTACACTGCAGGTGAAAGCAGCCATACAACAAACAGCTGGAGAGTAATGCAGGTCAAGTGTCTCACAAAACCCTGCATGCTTCTGGGGTTAGGGCACGGTGCTTGTCATGCTGGTTTGTTGCAACCTTTGCAGGGCTGGGATGCCAAACTCTCCATCTACGGCCTGGGGCCGAATCCGTGGAGCTCAACAGGTTGTTAGGAACCCCGTCCTCAAGCTCCAAACCAAACAAGCTTGCTTCGTGCTGAAGACCTCATCACAGTCGGATACTGGCTTTCCAGAAAGTCAGCCTGTCTTTCTGTCCAAGAAGGACTTGGAATGCCATGTCTTTCTCCAAAGTACATGCCATGTTGAGGCCTCTCTCAGGGCTTTGTCACCTGAGACGATGGTGGCCGCTTGGAGTCAAGGAGCTGGTGGTGTGATCACATGAGAGCCCTCGGACACATTATATTTTGTTTTAACTCGCGGACTACATGAGAACCTTTGCTTAAGGAAATGGAACCTGGCATCTGCAAGTACCTGTGGGGTTGGCAAGGGTTCACCGTAAACTCCATGGCCGTGACTCAGAATAGGATCGGCTGGTCTTGCTTGAAATGATGGATCAAATACTGGCCGGCCACGGCTTGCACGCAGATGCTTGCACATGTCCCTTGTGCTGAGCTGGTCTTTGTTTGCTCCATTGGGACCTCAACACTAGAGTCACTAGAGACGTCAATCGGTGTCAACAGCCGACCTGCGGATTGGTTTGCCCGGCTTGCCCCCCCCCTCCCCCCGAAAAGAAAAGAAAGAGCAAATCGTTTTTGTTGAGAGCGTGTACTGCAAGAAAAGCGCTTTGCACCCACCGAGTCCTACTGAGGCCATGGCCCTGCAATCGCCGCGGGGCGACATTGCTCGTGGCCCGACGGCAAGCGGTCAGGTCCCTGTAGGATCACCGTTCTTTCTCCACCGTTCGGAGCACCGTTGAGACGAACAGAACGATACTGGAGCCCAACTTTTGTTAGGATTATGGAGGCCTTGAAGACTAGGAACGACCTGAGCACTACATGGGCGCCGGAAGGTCTGAAGACTGGGCTCGGGGTCCAGGGTGACCATTTTGGTCACCATTCAAGCTGCAAGGCCCTGCAAGGCCTTGATTTGGTAGATTTCTGATACTGTAGTTAGTGTGGACATCTAGATTTCTGATTGATCCCGTGTCTTTCGATTTCCCCTTTTTTGGTTGTCCCGGTTTTCGGTGAATTGAGGTGGCCGAAGTTCTGAGCCCATGATGCGTGGGCCTGTGCGCTGGGGAGCTCAGGAGCCGTTTGGAGCCGTTTTACCGTTTTCGCAAGGCTCTCATTATATACAGGGTTTGTTGAATGCAGAGACTCTGCTTGTACGGATTCATTCAAAAAGAGAAGATGTCAGAAGCCTAAGGATCACATTTTTTCAAGGAATCTTCTTAATATACAACGATCTATACAAATTTATTGTACATAAATTGATTATCCCAATCTATTTGTTTTGGAAGAATCTTTCTGGTCTTATCCTGTGATTTTTCATTGAACTGCCGTGCTCAAACGCTCTCACGTTTGGTCCCAGGTCCAGATGCTCCAAGGCGATGACAAAACGATGCTTCGCAGCGACGTTTCGTCGGTCAAAGGAGTGACACGATGGTTGGCGTGTAGGTGGTGACACACCGCAGGTGGCCCGGCTTCTTTTCATTTCTACACCTTTTCAGAGTTATGTAAAAAACCAAATGCATTCTGGCAGTGAGATGAAGATGCTAGCGAGCTGCGCACTGTGCACGCATGCATGCCTACAGCCTGGATCTCTTTAGGTCTCCTTAGAAAAACGCAGGCGAAGAATGTTCAGCTTGTTTGTGTGAAGGTTACAAGTCAGTGGTCGGCCCTTTTGTGAGGACTCAGGTAGCTTTGAGTGCCGGGTCAGCTTTGGAGCTCCTCAGTACTTGTGGTAGCAAACAAAGGACCTTGGACCGTTCACCAGGCCATGGACTCGCCATTGCTGAGACCGAACTCGGAATGGAAGACCCCAACCGCAGAGTTGAACTTTGCCGCACAGAACTTTAATCCTTTTCTTTTTTCTTTGTTTCTAATAGTGATGGCCTCCAACCTAGGCCTCCAACCTAAGAGCAACGGCCTCCAACCTAGGGCGATGGCCTCCTGCCCTGCACAAAGAGACTGAACCTCTTTCTTCACTCGGCTCGGCACATCATTGGCTCCGGCCAGGCCTACGTTGGTCAACGTTCCGCAGCCTTTTGGCGGCGAAGTGAAGAACAAAGAACTTCCTTGGAGAAATATACAACTTGCTCTAAGGAAGGACCATTTGCTGCATTTTTGCCAGAGAGATGCACCAAGGCTATCTGGAGCTGCATCTCCTCCTTTTGTTTGGGATGCCCAGGGTTTCTCCTACACAGTTCTTTTCTGCCTTCATAAAAGGCGGCGTTCTGGGATTTCTGCAAAGCATGTTGTCTTACAATCAACAGCCATCAGTGAAAAGAACTCTGATCTGAGATGAAATGAAGTCTATCAGCTGGTTTGCATTTGCAAATGCTTTCTCAGGGGAGGCTGCAGTCCTCGACGGAGCCCCAGCGGTTTTGCGTGAGCCATGAAGTGACGAAGAGACAGTTTTTGCTTTGTTGAGCTCGGTTTACCAAATCCCTCAGGGTGCATTGAAAGTGGTTTGGGCATGAAACACATTTACCGGTGTTCAAAAGGAGGCACTCGACAAAACCCTCTCCGGCTGATGTCCAAAACCTCGCTGTCGACAATGTCAAAAGCCTTGGAGGCCGCAACTGTTTGTGCGCTGTCGCGACCAGGCCTCGCGGGGTCCCTCCGACCTGGCTACAGCGAGCACCTGCGGCGCTGGTGCCACGTGGATGAGGCGATGTTTCAACTCAGCAGCGGTTTGGCGGTTTGCAATGGAAGAACATTCAGCTGTTTGGTCTTGACAAGGCGAACGTGCCACGTGTTTCGACAAAGTCAGAACCAGTGCCATGCAATAGAACCAGTGTCAGACATCACTGGACAATAGCATAGCATAGCTTTGGCATAATTACTGGAATAATGTTAGCTTGATCCCTACAACTCTCTAGCAGGTCTCAATGTCTGAGAGAGCTGTCAAAGCAACAAAGATTTTCAGACAATGGCATCTACACACTTCGGAAAGGTGAATTTTGTACCAAGCTAACTAGATTGAATGTAAAACCTAAATGTGAGGGACATTCCAGGCTGGCTGTAAAATCCCTTACCAAGCTTGCATGAGCTAATTCGATCAAAATGGATTCTGGAGTGGTCTTCAATTAATTACATCGTGGCTTACGATCTAACCTCGCAAGCTTCTGCTGCGCGACATGACTAAATATTTTTGGTGTGCTGGTGGCAAGAATCCTCACCTGCACTCTGCGGGTTTAGCCAACTGAAGTTGGCGAATTGGAAAAAGAGGCAAACGGCTTGGCCTGGGATGCTTGGGCAAGACAGAGCCTTTTCCTTGTAGCTGAGCTAGTGAGTGGTTGACAAGTTTGGGTCGTCACAGTGTCACAGGCAACTGAGAAGGATCGAATGAGTTTATCTGCAATGCGTGACTAGTCTGAGCCGTTTGTTCTTCGAGCAGGGCAGATCAAAGGATGCATTCTGACGCTGCTATGTTCAAGTGAATCATCATATTATATCAAGGGCCACTCAATGATAGCAGCAGCTTGGCAAATGTCCCCTATTGATTGCTCCTTTCATTCCATTCTCTTTGCTTGCATGGCAATCCATCTCGAAAATACATGAGGACCACAACGGCCAACTCCATTTGGCCAAGTGAAAAGTGAAAGCTTCTGTTTCAGACCAAAAGAAGTGGATCAGTTCGGACGGTTCTCTTTACTTTTGCAGAGTTGGTGCTGGCCTCTGCTACTTTGTTTCAGGGGCAAAGCCCAAGCGCTCCGCGAGCCTGTGGCGTTTTCCAGCGCCCATGGAGCCGTTGGGCGGATGGCGACCAAGGCAGGGAAATTCTATGGCCCCAAGATGCCCTAAGATGCACAGATTCTGCATCTGGGACCTTATTCTGCAGAGCAGCTAGACTCTGCTGTCGACTCTCTGTAGATGCATCCGTGGAGTGCAACCTCACTCGACTCTCCAACACAGGATCTGGATGGAGCTTCGAGCTCCGAGGCAAAGGCGCGGAGTCGAGAAGTGGGTCGAGGGATGTGGAGGGTGCAAAGCCCTATCGAAGAAAAGGAACCAAATGATACTAGGAGCAAGAAGCTACTAGAAACAAAGGGCATCGCTACGAACGGAGCGATCGGACGCTACGAACGGGGCTCCTGGCCTTACTACGAACGGAGCGTTCGGACGCTACTAGGAAGCACATGAATGATTGGTGCTTCGTGCTATCCTGCATCCCGTTCCTTGGAGCCAACTTCGCCGAACTGGTCTCCGAACTGGTCGCCGAACGGCCACGGGCCAAAAAAGGAAAGAGTTTCCTCAAAGAATCCATTTTTGAACTCTGAGGAGTCTGAGGAGTGTGGCGCTTGGAAGGTTGGCCAGAACAGGAGGATGGTCAAGGGTTGAGCAGATCTCTTTTGGGGGGAAAGTGGCAGAGGCGACGTGTTCTTTCTTTTTTTGGGGAGGGTGCCGGAGGAGTAGCTTGGTTGCCCAAGCACTTCACTTGAGCCCTTCATGAACGGATGCCCACGAACCCCGCGTGCGCTGCAAAAACGCCCCGGATTGCCTCGGTGTCGCAGGGCTGGCTGGCCAAAGTGCCGCCCCTGCCAGAATGGCCGGGCTCGCGCCCTTCTTCGGAGGTGTTGGTGGTCAAGCCGAGGCCGATGGCCATGGCCAGCATGCTTGTGGTTTAGAAGATGGTATACATTAGAATAGAGACACCCCTGACCCCTAAGCTGTTGTTCAAGTCTTTTTTTCCTCTTGGCAGGTGTCAAACTGAGAGAATGAGATTGGGATGTAACTTGAAGCCAATAGGTCCTAGCGGTGTTGCAAGCCCTTCTCCACCTTTGAAAGTAGCAAGCAAACAAAGACTGGTAACATCCGTCAAACTCTTGTGCCTGGTTGATGACATGCATTTCCGTGTTCACACATCGATTTGTTACAACCGCGTATGCAAGTCACCAGTCCGCAAAACCACACTCATCTCACAAGGTATTCTGGTGAGACACGGTACTAGAATCGACAGTTGAATCACACCATGATTGAACCTGACGTCAAACACACTTCTTGGGCACCAGCGTTTCTTTTCTGGATGTTGTCAGGGCGAATACAACTCGTCATTCCCCTCACAGAAATGTCGTTGGCCTCTTCCAGGCTACCGGATGAAGTGGAGGCTCTCTTTGCGGAGGCGGGCATTGTTCTTCCCACAAACAACCCAAATATGTCTAAATATCACATTTTTGTCAGACGAAGGTGGTTGACCTTTTTCTTTCTCAGTCAGATGGTTGACCGTCTTTTTCCTGCCGGTGGCGCTAGCACGACTGGGACAATCGCAGGCGGCGGCGCTGGTGGCTGCGCGACCTCGGCGCAACACGCGATTGCAGGTCCTGGAAGAGGAGGTGCGCAGGACTTTAATGCATGGTGGGGAGTTCAACCTATACCAAAAACTCGTGATGGATCTTTTTCAGAACTGACTTGGCGCTTTCTTTGCTGTTTGTTGATTATTTGTTGAGCACCTGAGCTTAATCTTTTGGGCAGTGTTCTGTTGTTTTGTGCTTAGTTTTTGCTGTACTTGCGGGTATGTTGCAACACTTACTGTAAGAAAGACACCCTGTTGATATTGCCAGACCTGGCAGACCTGGCAGGATTTCTGAAGCAGCCCAAAGGCCCAACACTAAAAGGGTGCTTCCTTGGCCAATATCGCACCTCAGCATCTGCATGTTTCACATCGGAGATGCCCCTCGTGGCCAAGACAACAGAATGAAATGGAGCTCACACAGAAAGCTCTTCTACCCTGCAATCAAAAGTGCGGCTTTTGCGAGAATGTGCAGGCACATGCATGTAGGCGAAGCCATCGCCGCGTCCGTGCACCGCACAAGGAGAAATGGAAGTAATCTGCGACATCTGAGTGTAATGCGTTTGAAATGCTCAATACTTGTCTCACGTTTGGCCAATGTTTCACCCAGGTTTCTCAGAAGCCGCCCTTATAGCGGCCCAGGTCTGATGGAGCCGAATTTATATAATCAGTATGTTATTTGAAGGTGAGTTGGCAGCTGCCATGGTACGATTCTTTGGCATGTGCATGCCAGATGCACCTGAAGGTGGCAAGAAAATAAGTTTGTTTGCTTGTGATGCATTTCAGAGTGCCTTCTCTTGTCTTCCCCTTTCCACGTGGCCAGATGCAGCGCCATGGTGCAGCAAGGAAGATTGCCTTGGCTTGGAAAGAACGAGCACTGCAGCGGCAGCAAAGGGCGGCGGGCGTGGTGCAGAAGCACTTCCGTGGTTTGCACGGACGCAGGCGATGTCAAAGGGTCTTTGGAAACAACGGGCTTTCGCTCGTCTTTCTGAAGCTAAAACCAAAAAGCTGTGAAAGATGCAGACTCGCAGACGCCAAAGTCAGTGGTGTAAGCTGCAAGGCACTTCCAGGCGGAGAAAAGGAAGCAGTGCGCCTGTCGGCTCCAGAGATGGTGGCGCAAGAAGAGGCATGGAGTCCCTGGAGTGGAATGAGCAGTGAGTGGAGCGCAGGTCGCGCGGTCTTGCAAACCAAAGTTTGTTTGGTCCCTGTCGTGGAAACCACGTGATTTTCTGGTCTATTCACAGTCAACCTCTCTCTCTCTCTCTCTCTGACTTCCGGACTCCTTATGGCCTTTTTAGCTATTTCATTCCAAGAAAAAGGAGCACCAATGAATCCATCACTAGCAGATACGCATTCGGAGGTGGCGATTTCTTTCCCTGAAGGTTCTATCTCGCGTGGTTTCGGACGCATATGCTGCGGAAGTGCGCGGTGAAGTTGCAATCCTGGCACCGCGGGAACAAAGCACGAGAAGAGGTGTCAAGGGGCAGGGAATCCTGTTAGACTTGGTTTCCAGCCCATTGCTCATGAGAACCGCCAGACAAAGGAAAACGATTTTGGTCATTGCCTCATTGGCCTTCTATTTTGTTCTCCGACATCCGACCTGGAACTTTTGGAAACAAGCAGCGTTGGTCAGATGGGACTCGTTGTTGGTTTGTCGGATGGGTCGAATGGTCACTTGGGACCATGCACAAAGTACATGTCAAAACACATCTCTCTCCTTGGTGCTGCGAAGACACGGAGCAAAAGCCGGGACATGACAGTTGCATGATGCCTTGAAGTATTCCATGAGTAGTCTGTGATTTGCTGTATATGTGATGTATGTAACACTCCTGTTGTTTCCGAGTCATGAACATCGTTGCTCGCCTGGCCCGGTTACAGGTCTACAACATGCTGGTCCAGCGTCAGGCTGCAGTACGAATCTCGGCGGCTTTCCGTGGCTGGCGGCTACGACAACAGGCAGCCTACTGACCATGAAGGAGTATTTTACATGGTCGTTTGTGATCGTGATTCTCGCAAGAGCCGCAGACGAGTGCATTACCGCCTTTAGGAAACAAATGCATGTGAAGGTGTTTGCCTACAGAAGTAGAAGATATCAAAGATGGTTGGTGGGCAGATTTGCTTGGCTGTCGACCGCTGCCTTCAACACTGTAAGACCACAGACACCACCCCAGACACCACCATGCCGCCTCTCTTGGTCCGAAGGTCCCATGTGACGTACTCAACAAAGATCCCATGCCATGACTCCGTGATAATTGTTTGCCATATGTGTTTGCTTTCCCCCTCCTGCTCTTGTCTCCTTGACCTTGGTATGTCTATCCATCTTATCCTCTTTTCTTCTCCTCACCATTCACAATGGGTCCTGACCACTTATGAGGAGGTTGTTGCCTTACATGAGGTTACGATTCCCCAGCCTTTTGCTTGGCATTATTGACTGCATTGAAAGTGCTTTTCTCAGTTTGGGCAACAGTTTCCTTGACTGACATATTTTAGCCAATTTTAGCCATGATCCAAATGCTGATGGATTGGCTGTGGGCCCTTTGTATGATAGGTGAAACAGCAGCAGCGAAGTGCCCGAAAGATTCAAGCACATTGGCGCTGGCATCGGCTGTGGCAGGTCATATACTCAGACATCAGACACTGCGCTGTCAGTGTGCGGCAAGTTGATTGATAAGAAACGTGACTTCAGGTGAGTCAGCATTCATCATGAGTAACTCATCTTGTTGGCCTTAAGGCTTATCTTCGCTATCGAGAGAGGGAGCGGCAGCGGCAGCGAGCAGCCCGCCAGATCCAAGCGTCGGCTCGGAGCTTTTTGTCGGTGCAAGAACTGCAGCGGCGCAAGCAGGCGCGACATTCACGCGTTCTTGGGCCCGAAGGCCTGCAATTAGTCATTGCCGAACACTTGCCGTACACTTGCTTTGGAGAGCTCACATTGCATAGCGAGACTTTGTTTCAATCGCTCCGAACATCTTCCTGACCGCAGCGCGACCGCAGCGCTGTTGCTGGCCAGATCCAACGTCACGGTGCCGCCAGTATGGTCCAGAAGCACTTCCGCGGTTGGTGCAGTTGGAGGCGTTGCTGCGTAGTTTTATCAAACATTGCTCAGAGACCGATTTTCTTGGAAGGAATGAATGGTTTAGGTCGGATTCTTTCATCACTTTGTTCATGATCCAAAACTCTGCCACGTACACATTATTTGCCCCGGAGATGGGGAGCTGGGGAATTAGAGAGCAAAGGGAGCTCTCCCATCTCTCTCACTTTGGAAGTGAGAAACAACATCCAGCCATGAGCAAAGTTGACTGTTGGAAAATAACCCCCGTCATATGGAGATGTTTGGGGCAAATCTATCGGGGGTTGTTATTTGAACATAACATTGCTTGATTTGTGGCTGTAGACTTTTCTGTCTCAAGTTAAGTGAGGCGCTTCCAGAAAGGAAAGCAAGCTGCTTGTCGGCTTCAGAGATGGTGGCGCAAGAAGAGGCGCCCGACAATGGTGGCGGTCAAGGAGTCTGCAGCATGCAGTGCATCAGCACTTTTATCAGTTCTCCTGACCCAGCAGCTGTCCTTCACTGCTCGCTTGAGTTCTTTCTCTGCAAGATTTGAAAACCTGGTTTCAGGACACACCCTTGGGTCTTGGGATCCTTCATTGCTGTTTTTGCCACCAAGCCACCAAGCATGTCGTTCTTGCTTTTCGTGCCACGAAAATCCGAGAGGCTGTACCTTGCATGGCGACGGCTCCGGAAGAGCGCCGTGAAGTTGCAGTCCTGGCTCCGGGGAAAGCAGGTACGAGACGAGGCGCCCTCGCGTCGGACGGTTTGGGACTGTTTCGGTGGGCTGCGGGAGGCGCCTGACACGAAAGAAAAACGAAAGCAGCCATTGACGTGACATGAGCCCTTCTTGTGCTGTTCTGGTCAAATTTGAGAAAGACGCTTGACTCTTTAGCTAGGCTACTACTCAATTGTTGATGGATTGATTGGCTGTGGGCCCTTTGTATGATAGGTGAAACAGCAGCAGCGAAGTGCCCGAAAGATTCAAGCACATTGGCGCTGGCATCGGCTGTGGCAGGTCATAGACTCAGACATCAGACACTGCGCTGTCAGTGTGCGGCAAGTTGATTGATAAGAAACGTGACTTCAGGTGAGTCAGCATTCATCATGAGTAACTCATCTTGTTGGCCTTAAGGCTTATCTTCGCTATCGAGAGAGGGAGCAGCAGCGGCAGCGAGCAGCCCGCCAGATCCAAGCGTCGGCTCGGAGCTTTTTGTCGGTGCAAGAACTGCAGCGGCGCAAGCAGGCGGTGAAACACACAAAAACCTGAAGGTTTCTTTGGTCTTTTGCTTTGGGCAAGACCTTTTTGTTCAAAGGCTACACCAAAGGGGGCTTTTGGCACCGAAGGCGCCAAGTCGTGCACCCAGGGGACCTTTTGACCACCTTGTTAGGCCGCTGCAAAGGCACGCGGACCGCCTGTCACCTCGGACTCAGCAGTGCCTGGAGCAGCTTGGCTAGAGGGGCTGGATGGATCGATACGAGTTCAATGTGCACCTTGGAGCCTTTTTGCACATTCCTGAACAAATGATGAGAGTTTTGGGTGTGGACCAAATGGATGAGGTGCAGACAGCGCCGACGGTCAGCAACCACAATGCGGAGCCTCCTCGCAGCGTCTTGAACGGCTTTTGTGCACATCTTTGTAGCCCTTTGGTCAGCCTGGAAGGGAAGGTCAGGGCCAGACGCACAGGCGCGGCTGCAGTGGCTAGACTGGTGGATTACACTTGCCAAGCTAAGCCGATTGGTCAAGTGTGCTTGAGAAATAATCCCCGCAGTTGAACATTACAACCTCTCCATGCGGGGGGTTTATTAATCAAGAGTCTGCATCTGCATCTATAGAATACTGTATCTTGCACTTGTATGTTGCGAGAGGATCAGGTAGACATTCTTTCATCCAGACACTTTTGTGCGCAGCAGGTGTACATCCCAAGGGCATGGGTTTGGGTTGCGTGGTCTTTGGCGATGGACCTTTGCCGCACTTTCCGGAGGGGCGATACTTTGAAGTTCGTTGCCCGGCTGAAGAATCTACATTCGGCTTGTGAGTTCGTATGTCCATCCAGCAGACATTCTTCTGAGTTTGATGTCTACATTCATTTCGTACATCCACTTGAGAGAGAGAGAGAGAGAGACACATTTTTGCATTCGACTTGTGTTGTCGTTGAGAAGTCTTCTTTTCACCTCTCTTTGGTCCGGTCGGACCGGGAGAGAGACCCGGTCCAGCCGCAGGCATCGAGGAGGTGGCCCAGGACTTCCCAGACGGGTTGAACCTCGGTGTGGCTTTGAAGCTCCCGATGGCACGGCCCAAGGAGCCCTACGCCACCTGTGAGGAGGCCTTGGTGGGTTTCTGGATGTTTCTGGTGTGGGTGGTGCGTGTTCGGCAGGGCTTTAATGATTTTCCTGGTGGGACTGAGCTTTTATTGAGCCATGTGGTTCATGATCTTTAGCTGGTTGGAAGCTGGGCGTTTTTTCGTCAGGTACCCAGATCCTTCTGCTACGGCTTCGATGGCATGGCACATCGATGCTTGCCCAAGAACGCAGACCTTATTGACTTGTTGTGAACGAAGACCCCAGAGGATATGTTGGTGTAGCAAGATTTATCATGCGTTAGTCAAGTCTGTGTACTCCTTCCAAATCTTTTCCAGCCCCCACGCGACCCTTTTTTACTCAGGATGCGACCGAGAGGATTTGGAGGCCATCGACTGGAGCCCTGTGGATTTGGAAGTCGGGGATGTGGTAGGGATCCTTGTGACCAAACAAGGCGTAATGCAGCTGAGCCTTGGAGGAAGCTACTTTGTTTCAATATGGAGGAGTGACTAGGGGTATTTGAGATTTCAAGTTGATCCATAGTCACTGGGCTTGTTTAGTCCTCAGTTTAGGTATACTTGTTGGCTGTCTTGATCCGACGTGTGAACTTGCCATCTCAGGATAGTGAATGGCATTTTAGAGGTCTTCTCTATTGATGGCTTGCCGGACCAAGACCTTTTTCCACTGGTGGAACTCATGGGCAACACTGTGGCAGTGCCTTGGGCCCACCATTTTTTTGTGGTCATTGATTGAGGTCGTTGTTCGTGTTGGTTTGGTGGTCCAAGGGCGCTGATCACCCTCCAGTCGTCTCCAGTCGTCTTCACGGCGGACCTCTCGCCCCTGCGGCTCAGGTCTCCTTGCGCCCGGGAGCATCGCCACCGGCGGTGCGCCCACGTGACCCGAAGATGGCCTCCGCGCCCACGGTCCAGGTGTGGCCGTAGCGCAGGTGTCCGCTCGACGGAAGTGCAACTGAACTGACTGCCATTCTCAAAGTGGTGAGCTGGCCAGACTGTTGGTTTGTGCTGTTTGCTTTCTGTAAGATATGCCAAGTTCAAATATTCTTCTATATTCTTCTGATGGCGCAAAGTCAATGCGCAATGGCTAGCATAGGATCGACTGACCGCGTTCGCGAATGCTAGTATCAGCTACTTGTAGCTCCTGTCACACTCAAAGCACGAGGGGAGGCTTGGGGTGGCTCAATTTCACATTGCTTCATATGGCTTCACCTTCTTGGAGTTCAGCACACATCGACACATCAAATCATTGTTCCGTTCAGTCAGCACAATGTGTTGATCTTAGCTGCACTTAGCCTGTTGCCTCTTTTTGTTTGAATTCATCTCATGTATGTCCCGCAGGGCATCTCCTTATCATCCTGCTTCATCATGTCTCATCGCTCGTGAGCCGGCCTGCGTGTCAGCCAGATAGCGCCCAAAGAGTTCTGTCAACTGCCCTGCAATCTTGAGTTGTAGTTGTGCATGCTTACTCTGTGTAATTGACACCAGCCATCCCTTTGGTGGCAGGTGAACGCAGCTCCGGAACCACCTCCATCAGTGCCACAAGTGCCGTCCCTTGGCTGTCCAAGATCTTGGGTTTGACGGAAGACAGCGGAGTGTTTCTCTCCCCTGACTGCCGCATCTTACGCTTTCGTTCAGTCGAGACTCTGCTTGACCATGTGTCCAGACCTGCACTGCAAAGGGTGTTGGTGATGTTGGTGAGATGCACATTTGTGTCATTTTGGAGCAAGGACTGCTGAGATGTCCTCCAAGGGGGCAGCGCCCCTTACGACCTTGAACCCGGGGGCAGTGCAGCCTTCGCAAGTGCAGCCTGCTGCAGTGCAGCCTGCTGCAGTGCAGCCTGCTGCGGTGCAGCCTACTGCAGTGCAGCCTGCAGCAGCGCAGCCTGCAGCCTACTTGATTCAAACTCCAGTGCGCACTAACCTTTTCATTTGAATGCGCCTTCACAAGTGCATTTGCATAAGCACACGAGTGTGAAGATGTTCTTAGTTGCTCATGAACCTTTCCGCAGAATATCAGAAACGACACCACCACGCATTTCAGTTCAGTTCTGCCGATGGAGCGGCCCAGCATGGCACCAAGGGGACGCTTTTCCACTCGCCGCAGCATGGCGCCTGCTCCGAAGGCTGGAAACGGTCAGAGTCGGAGCTCGGAACGTGCGGAGATGGAGGGCTTGAGAACTACAAGTCGTAGCTTCTAGCTAGCTAGTCGTATGGCCAGGAGCTACTATATAGTCGCGTCCTTTGCTACTGATAATAATGCCCTTTGCTACTAGTAGCTCTATATATATATATATAGATTCAAACTTTAACCTATACATAGAGAATTTTTCCACGGATACAACAATTGGTCAGACGTGATGAAATCCCTTCGAACCAAATCCACGTCTGTGTTTGTGAAGTAGCTTTCGATTCGCCTCACCACGTCTATCTGCCCCGAGTTGTATAGGTTCATGGGTGCAGATGAAGGGCTTTGCCTAAAGCAACACATGACTTGCTTGGGTTGTGTTGGTGGGATTTGGAGAGACTCCGCTATAGGAGTCTCATGAACGCGAAAAGGGAACTGGGTTCACGAGGTGTTTCTTGTCCTCCTACCATCCTTGGGTACTCCGATTCTTTGGCAAAGGCAGCGCCAGAAGCGTCTTCATCAGGGCCAGCGCAAGCAGTGATGCCTCCGCACCTTGGTTGTTTCACTTGAATGAGGGTGCAGGCACGTGATTTCTCTATGCACAGTCTTTTGAATGTGCAGGATTGCAGGTGACCGGCGAGTTTTACGAAAGCTCCGAGATTGGGGGTCAAAACCACTGACTGGTGCGACTCGATCAGGACTCAGGGTGGCTGAATCCAAAGGACTCACTTCACTAGTGGGGGCGAAACTTCGAAACCAATCCATCGCACCTGTCAAACCAATCTCTCCCAGAATTGGTTTTAAGAGAAACCATTGTTTTCATCCCAAAATTGTGGGTTTCCTTGAAACCAATTCTGGGAATCTCAAACCAATCGATTCCGAGAAAACGCACAGTTTCAGCCGTCACTGAGGACTGAGACACTGCCCACGTCGCATTCAGGCGCCCCACGACGCTCCGCAGCACGGGAGTGCCTTGGTATCTGAAGAGTCTTGAAACCGCCGAGAGCCGCGAAGGAAAGGTCTGGTCTAAAAGGTCAAGGGATTGGCCAGAAAGCAAACCCGCGGTAAATGGCCTTATATGGCCTAGTATGGCTTTTGAATGGGTCCTGTCGGCCTGGGCAGACTCTTTGCCGTTCTGCTAGCCTGCTTGAAGTAGGTTTAGAAGGCGTTTCTCTTTTTGGCTAACTTCAACCAAACTCACATTCACATAACGTTAAAAAAGCCTTGCTTGCCTGACCACCTAGGGGTCGCTTCTCCTCCCGCCGGAGCATGGCGAAACCTGCTGCCGCGCCAGTCAAGGCTAGGACTGATGGATTTCTCGAGACAAGAGACTGATTGATTTCTCGAGAGTGTTGCGGTCCCGCAGATATATACACATCGTATATAGGTGTTTCCGACTCGAATTGCCTTGACTTCCATTTTGCGAAGCAGCTGACTGGAGGCTACAGGGGCCTTCTATGCACCATTGCTCAGCAAACAGATGCAGCTCTCCAAGGCGGGACCCGGCTCTCGAGTGAGCACCGACGACGGCGGAGCGCTGACGTGACGCGTGCCTGTGACGCGTGGAGGAGTGACGAGCCGTATGGAGGAGTTGTCGATTTGGTGATGACTCGACAAGAGAGGAACAACTCACACGAGTGCATCGCTACTAGTAGCTAGAATCTACTATATAGTAACAAAGGCATTACTAATTACAACGAGTAACAAGGGCATTACAAGGGCTACTAGGAACAACTGCATCACTACTAGTAAAAAAACAAAGAGGGATCTCTGCAGGGTTCGCCTTCTGCAAAATTGTTGCAGGATGGGAATTCCGTTCGACACAAGGATGAGACAGGGCAGCAGCTATACGGTGGTTTGGACGCAATTGCTGCTTCATGTAGCAATGTAGCCATGGAGTATACTTGGCTGTTGCAGTTTCTACCTTTGGTGTTGTTAATTCTTGTTTTTGTCTCTTTGGTCAGAGTCAGTTTCAGTAGCATGGTGTCCTTCCATATGAGGTGGTTGTATCCGGACAAGTCAGGTATGTGTGCTCCTTCTCAGGTATTGCTGTTGGCAGCAGCCCTCTAGCGCCGCTTCCAGGTGGCCGCTATTTCGAGGTGCGGGTGGACAAGGTCCGGAAGGTGCGGAGGGCATTTTCCGATGTGCAGAAAAGGGGACTTTTCTTTTTTTATTGGCGGGGGGGAGCTTCCTTGAAGAAGCGCTCGCACCAATGATTTGGTTCCCGGATTTTTTGGGAAACTTAACTTAGAACGCTCATTGTCGTAAGCATCACAGTGCAGGGGTTTTGTGGAAGTAGTGAGTCTTAAGAAGATTGAAGCAGCTTGATTGGATCATGTGAGCCATGCTAGACTTCAACACAACATTTCACGTCTATTTGCAAGGATCCCATCACAAGGCGAGGAACACAAACCTACGAAGTCGGCCCGCGAAAGCCGCTCTCCGCTGTTCTTTCCTCGCATTCTTAAAACTCTGACAATCGAGGAAGGTCTTGCAGTCCGTAATGAGAAAAAACACGTAAGAAACAACAATAGTTAAGTTATATAGTGCTATATGGTCAAATTATCGATTTATTTTTTTATTCAACATTTACGTATTCCTTCCTGATGGTGCAGGGCATGAGCGACGGCCTTGCATTGGGCTTCACCTTGGTTCCTCCGAGCGAACTAGCAGGTGGCTGGACGGCCGCTGGTGGCTGGCGAAAGGGAAGTATTTGGACAGAATGATCAGAACCAAGACTAGTCCCAGCCTGGAGAAGTTCCTTTTTCTCCAGCTCGGGAGCGTTTGCACCAAGAACGGTTCTTGCTGAAAAATATCCCGTCAAGCCTTTGCAAGTCTTAGCAAGTCTCAGCGCTCTCCAGAGGCTCCCTCTGTCTCCTTTGCGTCTCGTTGAGCAAGTCGTCCGGTCGCCGAAGCTCCGGTCGTCCACGACTCGTCGCGGGGTGGTAGTCGGACGAACACCAGGCGAGGAGCTGCACGAAGTGTCAGACACCTTGCCGGAATCGTGGACTGCAGGTGGATGGGGGACAGATGGCAGATTGGAAGCGCTTTGACTGCGGCTTTCAGAAAGAAAGAGCTGATCAGAACCTGAATGTAGATGCATTTACAAATGATCAGAGCCAGAATATTTGAATGTATTTTTTTGCATAGCAAAAGGGCATGAAGATTGGAACACATTCCGATTCAGAAACTTCGATTCAGAATTCAAACAGAATCACCCTTACGATGACTGCTTGCTGAAGGGTATGACGGCTTTTATCGATCCGTGAACTATGCAGACAATGATCAGGCCGGAGTGTTGTGGGTCGAGTCATCGAAGAGTGAGTAGTTGCAACCTAATAGCGATGGCCTCCAACCTACCTGCAAACTGTAGATGTTGAATCCTTTGGACATTCATCAGACGGGCGAACTTGTGCCTGAAGTAGCTCAATCTCAGCAGGGTGCATGAAAAATAATTGAATCATTTTGTTTGCGGTGCGAGGCTGAGTTTCACTCGTCTCCTTATAGACTATATACCTGATTCGAAGGGTCGTCCACTCTTCCGACTCTTCCGCAGACCACTTTGACATGGAACCCTTCGAGCCTCCAAGTCAACGATCGAGTGGGGGCAACTTGGCTGAACGGAGACGTGAAGGAATACCTTCGGGCGTTCATGCATCAAAGCAAAGTGGCCAGCAAAATTAAGGTTCGAATCTTTGTTTTCAAATATTCTTTATGCCTTGCGGTGCATTTTTAATGTTTCCTGTGTTCGAGGCACTACTCACACGGGCGGGACAGTTCATGATCCTCGTGAATGGCAAGGTGTGGGGTGAAGGGCACGAGGCAAGAGGAGGAGCAATTGGATCCTTATATTCTATTCACGGTGCACGATGTGAATTCTGAACTCTCCCAAAGTCCAAGACTTGACCATTGAGTGAGTTGCATTGACACAGTGGGTCCTCTGCATGTAAGGAGAATAGTGGTAGCACAAGGTGAATTCACTCGTTGGGTGTTCTTGGACCAACTTGGAAGGTGGTGGTCCGCGTCAGTGATGACTTCCCCTTGGCGGACGTCGAGGCATTCTATCCTGTCGTGGACCTCCTTGGTCGAGTGTGTCAGGCACGACGGCCACTTCTGCCACGTGCGTTTAGGCGGCTTGTGTTTCTGCGGCCACACCACGCGCAGTTGGGATTCACGAGAGGTTTCACGGACACGTTGGCATATAGGCCGGACACGTTCTTACATTAAAAAGTACAAACGCTGGGCCAGAACTTTTGAGAACAGTTGTTCTATGCGTGGAGGAGTTCTTTTTCCGTTCATCATGAGACTTGTTGCAGCTTTCAGGTGACAATGACTTTGGATGTTGTGCCCCCACCAGATGTCACAGCCACTTGGTCAGCGTGCTCATTTTTTGGTGGAATAAATTCCGATTCAGAAACTACGATTCAGAAACTACGCTTGCGAAACTACGATTCAGAAACTACGCCACCGAAACTACGATTTGAAAAAGCACATCAAACACAGGCCCACAGAAGTGTAAGCAAATTCAACACGAAAACACGGCAAACGCCTCATCATGCGGATTTTAGCGGGGGTGGGGGGGTGCGAGGGAATAATAGTGCCACGGGGTGGGTGGGTGATAATGACGTGGGGGTGCAAGTTTCCCCGTGTCGCTTTCAGCTGCAAGGGTGCAGTGTGGCCATTTCATTAGTTTTTTCTTTGGCTCCTTCTTGGGGTAATTGCTATGGTGGCCGAATCAGACGGTAGTTTCCGAATCCGGTCGTAGTTTCCGAATCAGGGTTTCCGAATCATAGTTTCCGAATCAGCTGTTAGTTTCGGAATCATAGTTTCGGAATCATAGTTTTCGAATCAGAGGGTAGTTTCCGAATCATAGTTTCCGAATCATGGTTTCCGAATCAGGCCGTAGTTTCCGAATCATAGTTTCCGAGTCCTAGTTTCCGAATCATAGTTTCCGAATCTGTCCTTGACCATTTTGGTGCTCCTTGTCCGTGGCCAGCGTGTGTGGTCAAGCACAAGGAACCGTGATCCGGTCAGAAGCACTTCAAGCTGTACCAAACACCTGCGATGGCTTTTGGGAAAAGGGGGGAGAAGCAGAAAACCCTTGTGTTGTTGTTGGTTCGGACGTGACGTCCGTGCTTGTTGGTCCCTTCTAGTCACGGGGAGTAGCCAAGAAGGTGTTTTGGTCTTAGCGCGTGAGGTGGGTGCCACTTTCACCGGCTTTGATCCCAAGCTTGTGGGCAAGGACCGATAGGGCGAATGGACCGAGCATTTCGTGAAAATGATCAAGGGATGGAGGGACGTGTGTTAATTGCAACGGGTTTACCAGTGTAATTACTTGCTAGTGAGCAGTGTTAATTGCGACCGTTGTGTTTTGTGGCGATGGCTACTGGGGATGGAGCCCGTCATGACCAAATCCGTACCTCCGCCTCCAAAATGGCTGAGTTTTGGTTCTTTGATGGCTCCATAATCTTCGGAGAAGTTGACATGGCATTGAGCAGTGTGTTGATTCAAGACAGCTATTTTCTTGAGCAGTTCGCACAAAAATTTTAAAGAAGCTTTGAGTCCAAGTGGCCAAAGTCGGCAGACGTTTTTGTCAAGTTTAGAGCAACTTTTTTCTGTGAAACTTTGCACCTTAAAAGCCTAGGCATTCCATACATTGCATAGATTTTCATAGCATATGCGAATGGAATGAGTCTAGTTTTCAATCTTGTGAAGCTTCCGCAGCCCGGGTGGAACACCCAACAGCTCAAGAAGGACAGAAATCTCTTGGGCTTCCCAAGAACACCACGGTGGGTTTCACGCCTCTTTCCGCCGTTTCGCCGTTTCCACCACTCTTTGGACCGTTAAAACCCCCTCCCCATTTCCGGGGTGCTTCCCTTGCGACCGGTCACTCCGGCCCTTCCACCAGACGGCGCACCTCGATGGCACGCGGCTGCTTTGCGCGAGCAACGACGCGGGCGGCGATGCCCTGGGGGGAGTGGTCTTCGGCGATGGCCCGTTGCCCTGCCGGGGCCGCCCAGAGTTGTGCGCGAGCAACGACGCGGGTGGGCGCGCGTTCGGTGCGGGTGGCGGGTTCAGAGGATGGGCGCGCTAGGGTGGGGAAAGGAGCTTCATGAGAGAGATGGAGTCAGGGTTTGAATATGTTGGAATCAATCTTGTGGAGTCTGAAGAGAGGTCCTTCAATGAGGCAGGCTTGGTGAAGAGTTTCTGGGGCGGAGATGTGCTCATGTCAAGGGCAGGTCAGTGCTATTCAGTGGGGCTTTGGACTCATGGACAAGCAGGATTTCAGGTCATTGGCTGGATTTCAGACATTGGCAGCCTTCGTGAAGTGTTTGCTTGAGGATCTTTTGGAAGTCTTCAAACCATACCAGATTCACATCACACAGCTCGCTTCACACTTTACTGCATGTGCCAGTAGGAAGCATTTTGGGTTCCCCATATGCCTGGACCCAGCACTGCGCGCTGCCTCCAAGCGCTTTTGCTTCAGGCACGGGCCCCGACGGCGAAGCCTACTTTGAGGTCGTGGTGCAGGAGCTGCGACAAGGAGCGAACTCCCGAGCCGCGGGAACCACCGAGCGGCGGAGCTGCGGGGAGCTGTTCGGGTTGAGGAGGCTGCCCTTTGGTACGTTCGAGTCGCGTCCTCTTGGTCCTAGTAAGGCCAGCGCCCCGTACGTAGCGTCCGAACGCTCCGTTCGTAGCGATGCCCTTTGTTGCTAGTAGCTTATAGCTTCTTGTTGGCTGCGAATGTTGAGACGCTATTTTTCCCCCCGTGGCCAAGCAGCTGGATGCTGGACATGCTCTTGTAGGTAGATAAACAGTCATGACATGGGCAGAGTGAAGACCTGCTTCAAGGAGGATCAAGGAATACAGACACTATATAATGCTGGTTTTGGGGTGGTGGTCAAGGTCTGCAAAGACATGTTTTGGGTGAGAAGCATCTTCACGCCATGCACACATACAAGAATTCAGACGCGTGGCATGTTGCAAGCGTGGCATATCGGGTACGATGTCCACGCGACAAAACCTTGTCCAATCTAGTTGGTGCGAGGACCAACCTCTAGTAACAAGAAGCTAGTAGTAACAAGTGCATCGCTAGTAGTAACAA